GCTACTGTTGCAAGCATGCGTGAATAATTCACGCATGCCTGCGACAATGCCCAGCCGGGTCACTGGCTTGGGCCAGTGACCAGGCCGGGCTGGCTGGGCCTAGCCCAGCCCAGCAAAAATAAAATAAAAAAGGTAAAAAAATAAAATGTATATGTGATAAAAATTTATTGGTTTATTCACTGATATCAGAATCAAAAATAAAAATACCGATTTAAATTTATATTATTCATTGTGTTTTATTTTATTTAGCTTGAAAAATAAACAATATGTGCATGCGTATAAATAAATTTATTTGATTTGTTTATTTACTGACGCTAGAGTTGGGAATAAAAATACTAATTTAAATTTATTTTATTTTTGTGTGATGTGTAAAAATAAATTTATTTTATTTATTTATTCACTGACGTTAGAGTCAGGAATAAAAATATTGATCTAAATTTGTTTTATAGCTACGTAATATTTATCAACGCTAGAGTTGGAAGTATCCGTAGTTGAATATTGACTGGCGCTAGAGTTAAGAATATTATAAACAAATTATCATAGCATAAACTAAAAAATGTTTAGCAATTTAAGACAAAACCAGCAATGCAGTCTACCTCAGGCAGAATGTGTAAGGGGTGATAATATCTTCCATTTTACGTAATCAGTCCTGTACCATAGAATTTTTGTTGACATATTAGGGTTCCTAGTGACCATAATACTAGGTGACGACTCCTTAAACAAGATCATTCTCCATCAAAGAATAAAATGCCAGAAATTCATTCTTTCCATAATAATTTTTAAGGCTATTGCGATGTCAGATGCGACAATTGATATACAATATAGATTGCTTAGTCAAACAAAAAACATGCAAAAATATCTAGTTAATGCAAGATTTAGCTCTGTCTCTCTCTAGATGCCTAAAAAAAATAGAATAATAAATAGAATAATATAATTAATTATGTTTTTTGTTATGCACTTTTTATTAATTAAGGGTATTATAATTAATAGTGGTTATATTAGTAATTACATAACAATAATTTAGAGAATAAATTTATTATACACAATCTCTTTACCCTTGATGGTGATGAGAATTTTGCAAATGAAGTTTGTATCTTGCATGACCAGCTCTAGACCAATTTGTACATTTTTTACATGCACTCTTGAATTTGGAAGCCTTTCTTGATGTAGATGAAGTTTTTAAAAAGACATGTGTCCAATAAATGTTTGACCATTGAAGAACTCTGACCTCGTAAGGGTTACGTCTCTATATCTAGGGCTTGTATCATCATAAACTTGACTTTTTTTAAGTGGCTGTCTATTATTAGGCTCCTTGAGGAAGATCTGGATGTGTAGAGTGATAGTACTGGTAAGGAATTGTCTATGGTTGTATACTAAATATTTAGGGTTTTTGTTAGTTTTTAGGCTCCAGCTATGCCTTGTACTGCTCTTTGTTTTGTTTGTGCTTGGATTATGCCTCATGTTATAATTACTCGAGTCTGAGCTTTGAGCGTGGACCCCTCAATCTGTCAATTAAACTAAACATGAATCTATCCCGTCTCAAACATATAGAAAATCTAAAAAATAGAGCGTGTGCAGGAGGTTTTGGAAATTAACATGATTTGAGGACAGCGCAAATATATATATATAAAGCAATCAAGAACAGCAATACAATCATTTGATTAGCTAGACCGATGCTAATTAATTATGACTAGAAGCAATCAAGCTGAAGCACAAATATAGCATGAATTTATTGTGCATGTATATATATTCATGCCCACTCGAACATGCAAATAATAACTAGTTAGCTCGAGGCACAGCACCCCAAACCTCCTTGCCAAACAAGATGATTTTTCTCTTTGCTTCAATCCTGAACTGTGACCCGAGGCGATGGTCATCCTCACGAAGAAGAACAGCCCTGTCACCAACTCTCAGTCCATAGTCGGCAACAAATTGAAGCCAGCCTACAGAAAGCACTGGCTTGTCGTAATCTCCATTTCTCTTCCTGCAACGCATCACCCGAGGTTTACCGCTGCTGTCTTTGACTTTCAAATCAACAAAAAATTCCCCTGCGAAATCAAGATACTGTAAAGAACGAGATGGGAATGAGAACTGAAATTGGATATCAGTATATTTTAGCTCTTTGTTAAACACCTCCATTTTGATTTCTTTGGGTTGTGAAAAGAGAGAGAGATATTTATAATGAGTATACTCAAGAAAAGTCCAAAATAAGTCTAAGCTTGCTTCTTGTAAGCTGTCGAAAACAATGCAGAATCAAATGACTAAAAACTAGAATTGAATAAACAAATTAAATATAATAAAATGTTGCCAGAAAACATTGAAAAAAAATAAAATTATGAAAAAATATCAATTAAAAGAATAAGAATTAAAATCAAATTAAAAAATAAAATAACATGAAATGATAAGAGATGAAATTGAGAAAAAAAATTTAAACAAATAAAAAATAAATTTAATAAAAGGTTCAATGGTACTAGTATTTGTTATGTAAACATTTTGAAAGTTTATATGTCAAGCACTAAAATCAGTAACAGAACATGATGGTTAATACCAGTGTTTGTCAAGCACCACAGTGAAGATGGGTGCTTTAGATACGCTTCACTTTAGCACTTTACAAATGTTTGGTAAACATGTCAAGCATGAATACTTGAGAACATTCATTTACAAATGTTGTTGTCAAATACCATTAAGAACATTCACTTTAGATACATCTTTTATCTTCTGAAAGGTATTTTTATCTGATAAAAAATCTAAGCACTTTTTATCTTCTTAAAAGTATTTTTATCAAATTTGACCCAATGTATAATAAAATCTTTCAATATTTGTTTTTTCAGCTAAAATATAAGCAGTGGAATCATCATTTTCTTCATCAACATTTATCAGCCAAAAACAGTAATATCCATTTTCAATAGGGGCGGATCACTAAAGGGTAACATGGTTGGGAAGGTGCAGCCTATGGTTATGGCCAATGGGGTCATGGTCCCACCATGGTCTGCTAGGCAATAGAGGACCAAGCCTGTATGGCAAGCCCCTTTGGCTATTCAATGGCCTTGTCTCTTTTGTCTGGTGAATAGAGAGAGATAAAAGGTGACATTGATTTCATTTGCTAATGTCCTCCTTCAGGTGAAGAAAACAGTTTACATTGTAAAGCACTAAATTGAAGCGTATCTAAAGCACTAAAAAACAGTTTACAAAACAAACTTTTAGTGCTTTACAAACACCAGTATTAACCAGCAAATTTTTATTGTAGTTTTGAATGTTTTTTAGTGTAAACTGTCTTTTAGTTTAAGTTTTGTAAACTGTTTACAAAACTTGCACTAAAAAACAGTTTACAAAACTTACAATAGTGCTTTACAAAAAACAATTTACACTAAAAAACATTCGAAACTACAATAAAAGTTTTATTACTGATATCTATTACTACTCATTAAGTGGGAACAAAACTTGGAATCTGTTGCTAGGGAGGCTTCCTTTTAAACTTTTAAACTTTCTAGTTTTTAAGTGGGAAGAAATCTTGGAATCTATTACTAGAAAGGCTTCCTTTTAAACTTTTTAGTTTTTAAGTGGAAAGCTTGGAATCAATTACTAGAGAGGCTTCCTTTTAAACTTTTCAACTTTCTAGTTTTCAAGTGGGAAGAAACCTTGGGATAAATTGAGGGCCGTATTTGGCCATGATTGTAAGAAAATGAGTTTTAAGTGGATTGATTCAATTGACATGTTAACCATGTTTAAGGAAAGAATTAATGAGTAGTAATAGATTCATTTCAAAATAAATAAATAAATCAATTTATCCCAAGGTTTCTTCCCACTTAATAACTAGAAAGTTAAGAAGTTTAAGGAAAGAATTAATGAATACTAATATATATAAGTATATTTTCAATTTTCTAGTAATAGATTTTAGTAATAGGTATCGGTATATTTTCAACTGATACCGAAAGAAAAGGAATCCTTTCTAGTAATAGATTCCAAGGTTTCTTCCCACTTGATTAGTAATAGATATCAGTATATTTTAGCTCTTTGTTAAACACCCATCTTTAACACCAAACTTCACAAATATTGTAAAGCACTAAAGTGAAGCTACACAAAAAACATTCAAAACTACACTAAAGTTTGCTTGTCTTCACACTAAATATTGTAAAGCACTAAAGTGAAGCGTATCTAAAGCACCCATCTTCACTATAGTGATTGACAAACACAGGTATTAACCATCATGTTTTGTTACTGATTTTAGTGCTTGACAAATAAACTTTTCTAAATATAAACTTTCAAAATGTTTACATAACAAACACTGGTACCATAAACCTTTTATTTAATTTGTTTTTATTAAAATAATTTTTTTATTTTTTCAATTTTTTTTAATTTATTTTCTCAATTTCATCTATTATTATTTATTTTATTTTATTTTTTAATTGGATTTCAAAATGTTTACATAACAAACACTGGTACCATAAACCTTTTATTTAATTTGTTTTTATTAAAATAATTTTTTTATTTTTTCAATTTTTTTTAATTTATTTTCTCAATTTCATCTATTATTATTTATTTTATTTTATTTTTTAATTGGATTTTAATTTTTATTTTTTTAATTGATATTTTTCATAATTTTTTTCAATTTATTTATTCTTTTAATGAATACAGGTCGCCATGATTACGAGTGGAGTATTGCTTACAGCTTGATCCCTGCATGGACACATAATTTGCAATTGCATAGTAATGTAATTTTGTTAATCTCGAAGATTTTCCTTCACATGGAGAAGAAAGCTTAAACACAGGAATTTTTGAAAATTAAAAGAGCTTGTATTGCAGACTATCATTCCTATGGAGTGCCGTTATTAACCTAGGGGTCAACGGACGACCTCTAGGTTAAGTCGTCGAGTTTAATAATATTAGTTCAATTCATGAAAAGAATTGGAAAATATATAAAACAGAAGAGAATAGAACTGGCTTTTTTTCGAGACGTTGCCATAAATGATGCTATTAACGATGTTTTAAGAAAACCCTAAAAGATCATTCTTTTCAAAGTTAGTAATGGTATTGGACAGTATAAATTGATTGGTGTGCTGATAATAGTTGGGAATCATGAAAACATGTAAAAGAACCCCCTTACTGGATTTTTATTGGATTTAGAGGATTATCTAATGCTTAAGTTAGTAAGGTTGTAAGAGAAATGAAGCTTTAGAAGTTGTGTTGTGTGTCTGAGTTTGTATTGTTATTTATGTTTGTAGAAAGTAATGAAGTTATATCCAATATAAGAATACTGGAAAAAAAAAATAGAATTGTACTTTTGCTTACCTCAGGGTTCATGAATATATCAGAAACCACTCCAACTTGCATGAAGACAAAGGTAAAAAAAAAAAAGGAGGATGAAAAGAGCATCCACCAGGCATAAACTTATCTAACCGTTGTTTCACAGGTCCAATTATGACAAGAATATGAGAGCATTTGATATTGAATACCAATTGAACATAGCGTAAGTGGGATATCTCAAAGGTCGAGCTTCTCATGTGCGGCATTTGGTGTATACGGAATATGTTTGACTCAATGCTCGGCCTCATTGCCTTGGTGTAGGCTTGGTGACCCGAGGAGAAGACCCTATAGCTTGTTAGTTTTTAGTCTCGAGCCTTGCCTCGTGCTTTTTGTCTTGTGCTTGGATTGTGCCTCATGTTCCGTTACTGAAGTCCGAGCTTTGAACGTAGGCCCCTCAATCTTTCAATCAAACTAAACGTAAACCTGTCCCGTCTCAAGCATAAAGAAAATCTAAAAATGGAGCGAATGCAGAAGTGTTTTTTCTAACCCATTCTGAAAACCCCCAAATCATACCCTATGGATGCTATTTCAATTATTTTTGTTATTTTTCAATGATTTTTCTGAATTTATTATTATTTTTATATTTTATGTTTTTTTTTAGGGATTATAATTTTTCTTCCTTGTTAATTTGTTTTAGGGATTATACCTCTAAGACAGACAGAAATGCTTATTAGATTTTGTATTTCAGAAATAAACCTAAGAATTAGGTTTTTGTGTGCAACCTGTTCAGTCAAACTCTATCTTTCTTGTCTCCTGTCTTCGTATTTGTGCTTCATTTCTTGTAAACGATTTGCAGCTTCTGGGCAAAGTCCTGGTTGTAGTGATCTGGGAGTCAAGCCGATCAAGCTGAGAACAGAATAAAACGATTAGTACACATAGAATGCACAAGCCTTGAGTCCAGGAATGCAGTCTAAGCTCAAGCCAGACGACAAGGTTGCATAGCGAAGTGCTTGCCCAAAATACACCAGTTAGGGGTGGGGCAACCATGAGGAGATTTAAACAGGAAAGTGCCACTGACACAGCAAGAATTATAAATATAGAAACTCTCAGATCCTCCATGACCCCTTTTTACCTTTTCAACTTGTGAACTCTGCAATCTCTGAGGATACACTGCTTACAAAAACTTAGTGCCAATGCACTTGTGGCTTTGGTCCTAGACAACTTCGAGTTCTTGGTGACTCGGGAGTATCATGACTGGTTTGTGCTGTCAAGATTGAGTTCATAACGAGTTAAAACATCAATTTATGTATTTATTTTTTCATTTAAACTCAGCAAGCTTTGTCAATAAATGCAATATTTGCCTATGGAAACACAAATTAAGTCAAATAAGCCTGTTTGTGTCGTACGCTCAGATGCATTTGTTGTGATTGGATGTTAAGAACGAGGCTATTCTCTTACCATTCACCCTTGAGAGAAAGTTATGACGTCCTGACT